GCTCTGTCAGTATGTTCGTACAGATCAGTAGTTTCTGTTACAATAGTTTCCCAGGTGTCTAGCAGCAAGGGTTGATGAGACAAATGTTGGCTTCTTTTGTCCAGCTGTGTAAATGCATGCAAATGAAAGCTGATTTGGACTGAAATGTCAAACAGTCAAACAGATTCATTATATGAATAATACTTTCTCTCAGGTATTCCCGGCTAGCGCAGTCAGTAAAGCAGGAAACTCTGAAATTCAGGATTCACATTATGAATCTTTGCCGGCATGAAACAGAGGACACAAGTGGAAACTATAACTTCTACAAAAAGTAAGGACAGGAGGTACCCTGTGGTTGAAGATAAAACCCTGGTTTCTTTCAAGACACATCTGGATGAGGTCCTGAGGTCAATTAGCTTCTAAACTTCAGATAAGCTGGATGGGCAAAATGACTTCCTCTTGGTTGCAACTTATGTTCGTATTTTTTGAGAAAAGTTTTTTCTTATAATACATTGGTCCCATGGCACACACAAGAAAGCACCACATGGCAGTTTTCAGCAGCTGTCAGGCTGACAGTATTCCTGTCTGTCAGATGAATACGAAGACGTTCAGTAAGAATCAGCTTCAGCGTTCAGCTTTTCTGAGCACACTGAGGGTCCTGGGACGTGGGGTTGTTGTAGGGTTTCTGCACAGAATGGCTGGAGATGAAGAATGTGCCCACAAGCCAGAGCCTGACATGTCTAGGCAGTGTTCTGAGAAATTGGCTCTTAACACGGAGGAGATGCTGCACACTTTGTCTGTTCGAGTTCTGACACAGAGGTTCAAACTGCGAACTGTCACCAGTCTAATTAAATCTCGTTTTCAACGTCCGAGACTCTCTGTGCAGGTCAAAGACGATCACCTTGCCTTTACAAAATAAGATGTTTCTTTGTACAAATTGAAGCATCTTCAAAATACTGAATGTTATTGTGTTTATTCTGCATCTGAGAATCTCTGTGGAGATGAGCGTTGTTTGTGTTTCGTGAAGCAATTTTTACCGACTGTGATGATTGCAACTGATGAATAAATAAGTCAAACAATCCAGTAAGCATATACTGTATATTTTTCTCAGATAATAGCTTGTTTTTGGGCTGAAACAATGTATTTGCGATTTATTCGGATATTCAGCGATAACGGACACCCTTTCCTCTCTATTGGTCTGTTAAACTGAGGGTACACGGTGTGCATTAGATACATTACACCTGTGACAGTGGAGCACACCTCCCACTGCACTGCCCACTCCGCGGCGCGTGGGAATGTGCAGGTTCCACACCTGACGCCAATCAGCGCTGCGCTTTAAGATCCCCTCGCGCTCGCACACGGCGTTCACGTCTCTCCTACCGGCGACACAAACCACTCTCTCCCATCGGAGGAAGAGTTCTCTCCTGTACCAGACAGGAACTGTACCAACCGAACCTTCTGCAGGCGACTACACACCGGCACACCGCAGGGAAGACAACACGCGCTCTGCCGGTGTTCAGGCAGTCTCCTAACACTACCGACACTCACACACACCGGATTTGCATCTCATAAAAGAAAAGCAGAGAAAGAAATACATAAACTAGTGATAGTTAAATGCATATAGTCACTTATTACAGAGCCTAGGTTTTCCACAAAAAAAAAAAACATTGAACGTGTTTAGATAAGTTTGAAAAGATTGGAGTATCTTGAACTGCCATGAACTCTCCCACTGTAGCACAAACCGGCTGAGTGTTAGATTAGACTCCGTGCCCCTGTGGACAAAGTGATACTGTGTTCCTCCGTCCTGACACCCTGACGCTGGGCTCCCCCCCTGCTGATAGTCACTTAGTTTACTGTTTGCTTCCTCCTCTTAGCGCATCTCAGTCTCGTCTTGTGTCCTGTTGCTTTACGAATCATGAGTCTTAAAGGAAACAGAACTGGAACAACATTTCTGTCCAATTCCTAAAATCGGATATAAACCATATACAGAATATCAGAATTTAAAGCTCGAAACGGATTAATACCTGCAATGCCTGTAGTGTATAATCTTTAAATTTCAAATTATTATTAATAATATTATCATTTTTAGTCATTCTAGAGCTTTATCACAAAGTCAAAAGCTTCTTCTGAAGATATGATACCATTTCGGTAACATTGTGTGAAGGATATAATAAGAATAATTAATAATAATAATAATAATTGATTACACTTATATAGCGCTCTACTGGACACTCCACTCACAGTGCTTTACAGGTAATGGGGATCCCCTCCACCACCACCAGTGTGCAGCCCCACCTGGATGCTGCACATTGGTAATATGAATGTTTCTTACTGTTTCCTGTTACTGGCAATCTGTGAACCACCCTCTTCATAAATCGGCACAATGTTTGTTTTAAGATAAAAGTAATTAAAATTTAAGTTTGCAAAATACAGATGATTATTGAACTCCAGCCTTAAATAGCCTTGCGAGGGATGTGACCAGGTTAACATTAGCAACTTTAATCAGTAGCGCCAACAGCCAAGCAGAGACAAACACCTTCATGAACACAACTGGACAACCTGCATACAGTTCAGAAATCAGCTAGAATAACTCCCCACAACCTCTTAGTTTTTGCAGAAATCCCTGTTTGGGAACACTTCATTCTTTAAAAAGAAAAGCTGGTTCATGCTTTTCTTTCAAGACGAGAAAATGATCTAGCGGCTTGCTTCATCGGAATCCTTACCAGACTGCAACATGTCCAAACTCTTCTGTCTGTATTTTATCAAGGTTTGGCTCTCACGAGGATACAGAATGTCCAATTTTTATCTGACACATCTATATTTCACATATCTGGGCAGGTTCTGGAACTTGAAAGTGCAGATTTTGAAACTATCAGAAGTGTACTGTAGATTTGGAAAAGATCATTAAAATCGTTCGACATGTTCATGACCGATTGTAACAAACGTCAATCGTGACGGATTTTACTTAAAAACGGTAATTAATAAGAAGACCTGTAATGATGTGTTTACAGTATCGCAAAATAAAAGTCCCACGATTGTCCTTCAATGTAATTTAATACATTTGAGGTTTTCTAAACAGGTTTTGTTTTATTACATAAATGAATGTCAGATATACAGTAAATGGGATGTTCTGTTAGACTCCTGTTTGGCATCTTTACATTGGTTTCCACGGAACATCATAATGGATGACCATGACTTCTGACACACAGGACTCTCTGAATGTTCAAGCTCTTATTGAGGAAAACTGTAACCCTGAGCCCCTCACGCCTGCTCTGAACTTGAATGAAACTTTGTATGTTGACCAAGGACTGAATAACATCAGTTTTTTATTGGGACGTCCGTGTTGTGGCTCGCGGCACCGATACGTACAGTATACAGACTTCGACAAGTACAAAGTACGATTAAAATCACACTTAACAATTTTTTTTAATCTGTCTTTTCTAAATCTGTTCGTTGAGCTTTGCCTATCTGTTTCTTTGCATCTGTATTGCATGCCCTACTGCGCATCGTGCGATTATATTCTGAAGGGCGCTTTAGAAGTACAGTGTTAATGTACCCCTGTTTCTACAGCTCGCCTGTGAACTGTCGGTCATCACCTCGACTGGTGTCTCATCCGCGCTCGACCTTGGTCTCAACCCGCCCGCTCGCCGCTCACTGCCCCGGCTCCGACACACGCTGTGAACCGTTTCTCCGTGACGTGAGGCTACGGCTGTTTCCAGGGTTGTAACAATGGCAGATAGTATTTTTTAAAAAAGACACAGTGGTTAAAGAAACTTTTTTTTTTAATAAATAAAACAGCGCGGTTTTCCCTACTTAAGCCACTGTTAGGCACCACTCACTTTACTGCTTAGCTACAGTACTTCTGTTCCCGCGCCACAGCTAGTAACAGAAGCGGAATATTTAGTACAGACATACCAAGTCGCACAATTTGTGTACAACAAAAGTACAACAAATACACTGGCATGCGGATATGTCAGTCTCAACACAACATTGCGGCGTTTCTGACTGAACGCAGTTCATGCTGCCTCTTTTGGTTGTAAAGAGATCTCGTCTGAAGACCGCCTGTGCGCCTTACAAACTTTACTGCCTGTTTTTTTCTTTATTCATGTAAACAAGATTTTCTGTGACACTTCTGAAATTGTACATCAAGGAATTTGGCTGCATTAGAAACCATTAGAGACCAGTTGCGCCGAAATCGAAAATGAGATCGCTGACAGAGAACACACTTTACTTCTGAGAATTAATCTGTGCACGTACAGAGTAGCTCTGATAGAGGTGGTTTTCTATTCTCAACGGTTACAATTTGTTATTGGACGTTATCTTTCTGTGTCCCCATCAATCTAGATTCACAAACGCGAAAAAAATGTAGGGTTATACATGCATTATTACTAATACTCTTTGAACTCACTGATTTCACTTTTGAAGAGTGCAAGCGAAAAACTTCAGGTATCGCATTTCAAGGTGCTTTTTAAATTCTGCAAAGCTTAAGAATGATACGACAACAATGCTGATATTTGCGCTAAGAAGCGCAGGAGGTGAACAGCTCCCGGGAAAAAAGGAAATGGGTCTTGATCACTCTGAGGTAACGCTTTAACTATTTTGTGCCCGCCAAATACGTCTTTTTCCGCGATCACCAAATAACGCGCGTCCTTTAAGTCCGAACTTCACAGCATCCTAAACACACAAACACACACAAACTTCACAGTGCTTCAGCGCAGTGGGAAAGCAGTCCTGAAACTTACTTCTGCAGGCGGGGAGAGCCAGCAGCAGGACGGCCAGGGTCAGGACGGCGGCGCAGTGGGGCTGCCTGCCGGCGCCGGCTCTGGCTCCGCACCCGGCTGTACAGCTACCGGGCGCAGGCTGGTGCGGGCACGGAGCTGGCTTCATCGGCATGGTCGCTGGCGAGGAGATACTCTGCAGTCGGCGGCGGGCTCCCCTCTCTTGTTCCCGAAGGCTCTGAGAGTCCCCCCTCACTATCGGAACAGTTTTAAAGCTGCCTGGCCACACCTTTCCCGCGTCAGCAGAAGCGCGCACGCAGAGCCCTCGGGGGTCCGGCACCACGGCGACCTGCGTCGCACCTGCAACCCCCGGCTTCTTTGACGCCCATGCGTCGCACTTCCTGCCGATGTCTCTTCCCTGGCGGTTACATTCAGATACTCATTCGGTATTTTGGGGGAAGTCAGTCAAACAAGGCAGGCACAAGGCAGTCTCTCTGCTGAAAGTATGACGAGTGTTTTAGAGCCGAGTGTTTCTGTTCAGGCGTTTTATTAAATAAAGATGTAACCAAGTCCATTAAGATAAGATCACTTTATCGGCCATATACAGCTTCATGTTACAGGAATTTGTCTTTTCGCGGAGCCCAATTTGCTCTCCATGAGACACGTACGGGGAGAGAAGCTGGGGATCAGACATTTATACGGCGCCCCTGGAGCAGCTGGGGCTAAGGGCCTGGCTCAGGGGCCCAACGGAGTAGGATGCCTCTGCCGGCCACGGGATTCGAACCGGCAACCTTCCAGCTACAGGGCGCAGATCCTGAGCCACAGAGCCTCCGCTCCGCCCATTAAGAACAGCTTTGTTACTAATGTGTTTGAAAATATATTATATTTTTAAAACAATGCACCTTTTATCTTCACTGTGTTCTGTGTTGATTATGTGAAATTTTGAATATTTTCAAGCGGACATTAAGTAGAGTGACTAGTATACATTTACGGCAAATTTACATTTTCATAAATTTAATGTTTATACATATTTTTTATAGTTCAAATGCAAAGTGCAAACGCCAAGAAATACAATTTAAAAATGTTCTCTTACAGTGCGTTACTTTATTTTTTCAAGTATTCGTTTAACAAATTCACAAAACATTTATGATAAAATGATAAAAACTGTTTTGTGTATATGACTTTCACTCTTATGGAAAACAAAAACATTCCCGAAGAATAAATTGAAAAACCTGGAAATCGATTACTTAAATATAGAAAATCTATGGTGGAATGTTTCATGTAAAATCTATTCCTCATTAGAATGCAATTTTGAGTGCGTGTTAAATGCAAATCTGATTCATAAAAAGGATCAAGTACGTTTTCAGCACCCAACTGTCACGGACAGCTCCAGTTCTCTAGCGCTTGATTTCAAATGTTTCTAGAAGACAACAGCGATTGATCTGATTGAACATAAACTAAATAACCACAACAACAACAGATCTGTATACCGCACGGTTGGCACCTAATTATCTACAGTACCTATCGCGACTGCTGTATAAACATTCGTAAGGGTTGAACGTCCTGAGGATGACACTTAACGGAAAGGTATTTGTTAGACGTGCTGTGATATTTGAAAGTCGCGACGTCTGACGCCTCAGAGAGCGATGTACTGTAATTCGTGATAATTATTTTGTAGAGGTTGTGAGGCTTCCTAATAAACATGTACAGTACTTCCACTCTGCAGCAACGTAGAGGTAAGGCACTTTACCTCACCGGGGAGAGCAAGAACGAAACGCTTGTCGGAACGAATGAAATCGAAGAAATGTTTGCTGTAAAGGCAATATAACGTACGTAACACAGAATAATACTGCGAGACGAATTCTTAGTCCGGTGCCGCTAAAACGTGTAACAGGAAAACATCAGAATCGATGGTACAAAAACAGACGTGTAGAGCAAGTGTTTTCGGTTGCCAAGAAAAAAAAAACTGCATTAGACTGTAGTTAGATTCACTACATTATGTCCAGAGAATTCAGCAGGACGCTCAACAATTAATGCAATTAAGCCATTATGTGATCGATGTTATAAAAGCACCTGAAGGTTCCTGACCTCCGCTCGGCTCCAGTCACACGCACACAAACACAAAGACTGTCCAAACGAATCGGTTTTGAGAGAGGTTTGATGAATTGGTCATACTGACCCTTTTTTATCTTGGCATGGTACCGTTTGTTTTGTTGTTCATGTCGTCAAATAGCGGAAATAATATTTTGCCGTCACTTAAACAGTACATACAAGTTAAATTAAGTTATTATCAACGAAGAGGCTGTCAGCTTCATCCGAGCCGAGTTTGGAGTGTCTCCTTGCCGGGACAAGAGCAAACCTTTGTTGTTTTTCGTCCTTATTAACCATGACTTTCTTTCACTGACCTTCACCTTGGTGAAGCACTGCTGTCATGCTCCTGACAGACAGACAGACAGACAGCTGCACAGACATAAAGACGGACTGATGGAAAAAAACAAAACATCCCTGAGTCACTGTTTCCATTTTCTCTCAAAATGAGCACTTGGGATGGTCAGTGGCTTGCCTTGTTAAGACAGGGCTGAAGTCATAAATATGACAAGGATTGTGTTTGGGGAAAACTGGCAGACTGTCCGTTGTGTGCTGTGGGGAGTGTCGGGAGAGATGCAGCACCAGCTTCATGCTGTGTGAGGGGGGAGTCCACAGGGGCTGAGTGCGGAGCTGTGTGCGAGCAGCTCTCCGGTGTCCGCCTCGTGCTCCTGAGCCCCACTCGCTCTCAGACAGCACAGCAGCGCTGCGGAGGCTGTGCGGGAGGGGCCCTGAGGAAGAGCGGGGATCTGTGTTACACTGGATACCAGAGCAGACTTCATCCCTCAGCAGGGGATTTGAAGCAGGCTGCTGACATCACGCTGTCCTGGTGGGCTTGTATTCAGTTCCTTTGAAGTTTATAATGGGAAAGAGACACACTGGTGCAAGTCTAGAGATCCTACAACACTGCTGCGGATTGCACTGCCTGCCGACTGCTCAAATCAATGAATTCTGGCAGTGCTCTTCATCCTACAACGAGCGTGGCTGCTCTCTCCGGCGCCAGATCGCCCTCAGGCAGAGCACTGTAGAAGGAATCGTGGTTTCTGTACCTGTTGACTGAAATAAGTATGAAGCTGCATGTCTCTGTCTGAAAGCTGGACCCAATTGGGTCAAACTGCAGTTGTACTTTTAGTTCTTCTCTCGAATTCACAAACTCTGTGTCTCTAAACAGCCTTACAGCATCATAAATAACATTACCAATATTTCTGGCTTCGGTCTCTGGAAGCACTGTGTCTTTTTTAATTTTGACTGCTCAGATAGGTTTTATGCTGTAAAGGAGTTAAAGGGACGTCAGTCCTGGTCTGTGTCTGACCTGCTCTGAGAATCATAACATACGATGGGCTTTGTAATCATCATATTGATCTCAGCAAAGCTCTCCAGAAAATCAGCAAAATTGAGTTGGTGTAAAGAAATAATAAAAAATAGGTTTTCTGTTCTTTTCTCAACAGGTAGGAAAGATGAGATGGTGTCAAGATCCCAAAGGACTTGAAGTGGGTTAACATTCTTTTTGTCATTTTGTTCTTTGGTGGCTAACTGAACTGAGATTATTATAAATAAGTACTCTTCCCTAATCAGACCCTAATCAATCAGGTTTAAGCTCTGAGTCTAAAGAAAATAAAATGCTTTAGAACTATATACACTCTGCAGGAATATACTCTATCTGACTGGAGGTTAGACACTGTGCCTCTCAGATTCTGTGTCCAGGTAATAAATGGACACAAAACAAAGCTTTTGAAAAGATAATCTCTTCTGTTCTGTCTCCTTTCAGTTCATACCACACCTGGCACACAGAAGCCAGATTCCAGCTGCATGGAAAACAATCAACTGGAAATGCAGAGCAGAGCTGATTAACTCCAGCAGTAATTCTTGTGTTCTTCATTAAGATAGACGTACAGTAGCTCTGTTCACAAATCATATAACACTACAGGTAGTGTTTTTTAAATTGGGTTTCACACAGAAATTCTATATAGTTAATCAGGTAATACATGCATATCAATATCTTTTTCAAAAGACAAACAAGACCTATTCTGTTAAAGACAGAAAAATATCATACATCTGTTTTTTGTCCTGTTGTCAAGAGATATTAGGAAAATCACAGCCTGACAATGCAAATGATTAGAGTTATCCAAACTATGTACTTTTAAAAAGCTCTCCATCCATACTATGTTATTAATCGGAAATATACTAAGTCAAGTTTAAGCCACTGTTTAAAAGTCAGGGTTTGACTGAAGCATGTTTTCCCCAGAAATATACACAACAAACACAATGTATTCATGTAACTGGTATCAACTGTCTGGCTGCTCCTTATACCTGTGAAATTGGGTGCACTTATGTCAGCAAGAGCATGCTCAGTTCTCTGCCCAGGCAGTGACTCCTGGGAGCTTGTGTGCTTGAGGTGTTTGTAGTCAGTTTTAGATTTCCCCTCCAACTGATGCTAATTCTCCTGTAAGGCATTGTGGGGCCTGTGAAAAATGTCAGATTGCACCAATAAGAGCACATTTCTACAGGGATGCACTCTTAGCCCTTCCCCTTTTGCACAGGTATGGTGTCTATTGTATTGCGGGATAGTTTCACATCCGTCAATATAATAAGAGAATAACTGGTAGCTTCAAATTAAAAATAAATGAATGTGTGATCATAGCACTGAGAAGAGACAGAGGATCACGCATCAGCCTAGAGGTGGTGATGGAATCCATGCAAGGAAACCACAGGCAGAAGGGAATGGTCCCCAGTACTAATCCTTGGGGAACACCTGCAGAGAGAGGCCAGCACTGTGAAACCTGTACACAGTGGCAGAGAGGTGGAGAGGGAGCCAGGCAAGAGCAGCACCTGAAATACCAGGCTCAGAGTATGAGAATGAGAGGTGTGTAATATATACAGTAGGTGTACAGAGGTGACTCGAGTCTATAGTCTGTAAAGCTGCTGGGAGGTTGAGAGACAGGGGAGAAGAGGTGCCTATGACCAAGACAGACAGCAGAGAGGTTTCTGTGAATGGAAACAAACGGAAAGGGTGACGCAGGGGGTGCACAGTGGTGAAAGCAGACAGCTGTTGATCAGCTTCTTCCTGCAGAACTTTAGAGAAATGTGGGAGAAGGGAGATGGAATAAAGCCTGCAGTTTTCTCCAGGCTGGTGTTGAAAGAACAACTGGTGATGTAGACGGGTTGTGCCCAGGAATTGTGCAGAAGATATAGTCTTCCTTGCGGGAAGAGAGAATTACAGTCCTACTGAGATATATGGTGATC